ACGCCGATAGGACCCACATGGCAACAGTGACTGATTTTGTTTTACGCCGCTTTCTAGCAATGTCCCAGCAACATTGATGGGGACAGAATATTGCTTCACACATTGTAAATGCGGTCGTAAACCAAAACTCAGTCGCTTTTGACTAGGCTATTCCGTATCGGCACTGTTGCTGGGCTTGTTATCAATCACTGCTGCTGAGCTATTCCAATGGCTATAGTGATCTGAAAAGTCCTGGCAACAGTGACCGGAATAGCCAGCAACAGTGACCGGAATAGCATGACAACAGAATCAATCGGAACAGTAGCTCGGAACGGTGATCGGAATAGATCAGCAGTAGTGATCGGAATACAGTGATCGCAATCGGAATCGGCGGCAAAGTGATCGGAACAGCCTAGCAACAGTGATTGGAACATCCAACAACAGTGATAAGAATAGCTCAGCAACAGTAATCGGAATAGATCGGCAATAGTGATCTGAATAGCCCGGAAAAAATGACCGGAATAGATCGGCAATAGTGATCTGAAAAGTCCGGCAACAGTGACCGGAATAGATCGGCAATAGTGATCTGATAACGTAACCGATCAGAAAGTGACCGGCGAATAGCCCATGACGGCAAGAGTCAGAAATACAAAAGAGTTGACGATGTGGAATATCTATCGGCAACAGGTTTGCTGGGCAGGATTTACTCGCCTTATGCGTGAATGTCATTCACATTGAAAAGTTCGTTGTGTGTATTAATTATTGTTTCATGAATCAAACCTATGGCGGCGGGCTAGTCGTGGTTAAAGCGTTCGGTCGTCACGCCGAAGACCAGGTTCGATTCCCACCCTGATACAATGTGTGAATCCCATTTCTGGTGTCCCCGTCCTGATATTGTTGGAATATTGCTAAAAGCAGCGTAAAGCCAAACTCACTCACCAAACCAGTTATGGTGCGGATCAGGAAGGTGGGTGAGAAAGCACAAAGTGATCCTGTCTTTGTGGTGGTGTGTGGTCATGTGCGTAGACCTCAGGTCACGAATCAGTTTAGGTTAAGCAAGGTCGAGCTCGGAGAGTCCTTGGATGGGTGACCGTGTTTGGCAGCCTGACTCCTGAGAGTTTCTAAGAATTCAGTCCTGTCCCTGGCAAGAAGCATGTGATACATGTGGTTTCACCTTAGGCAAGTGAGTTGGTTAAAATTTGCCTCTGTTCACCCAGCAGAAAAGGGGTACCCGGTTGGATAAAGTCATGTGACTATAACCTTCTAGCGCCTAAGAGGCAGCCTGGATTATCTGGGGTAATGATAATCAGATTCTGATTCAGATTCTGTAATCGGAAAAGTCCGACAACAGTGATCGGAATAGCCCGGTAACAGTGATTGGAACATCCCAACAACAGTGATCGGAATAGCTCGGCAAAAGTGATCGGAATAGCCTAACAACAGTGATCGGAAAAGCTCGGAAAAGTGACCGGAATAGCCCGGCAACAGTGATCGCAATAGATCGGCAAAAGTGATCGGAATGGCCTAACAACAGTGATTGGAACATCCCAACAACAGTGATCGGAATAGCCCGGCAACAGTGATCGGAAAAGCTCGGCAAAGTGATCGGGATAGCCCGGCAACAGTGATCGGAATAGATCGGCAATAGTGATCTGAAACGTCCGGCAACAGTGACCGGAATAGCCCATGACGGCAAGAGTCAGAAATACAAAAGAGTTGACGATGTGGAATATCTATCGGCAACAGGTTTGCTGGGCAGGATTTACTCGCCTTACGCGTGAATGTCATTCACATTGAAAAGTTCGTTGTGTGTATTAATTATTGTTTCATGAATCAAACCAATGGCGGCGGGCTAGTCTCGTGGTTAAAGCGTTCGGTCGTCACGCCGAAGACCCGGGTTCGATTCCTTACCCTGATACAATGTGTGAATCCCATTTCTGGTGTCCCCCGTCCTGATATTGTTGGAATATTGCTAAAAGCAGCGTAAAGCCAAACTCACTCACCAAACCAGTTATGGTGCGGATCAGGAAGGTGGGTGAGGAAAGCACAAAGTGATCCTGTCTTTGTGGTGGTGTGTGGTCATGTGCGTAGACCTCAGGTCACGAATCAGTTTAGGTTAAGCAAGGTCGAGCTCGGAGAGTCCTTGGATGGGTGACCGTGTTTGGCAGCCTGACTCCTGAGAGTTTCTAGGAATTCAGTCCTGTCCCACAACGAAGCACATGTGATACATGTGGTTTCACCTTAGGCAAGTGAGTTGGTTAAAATTGCCTCTGTTCACCCAGCAGAAAAGGGGTACCCGGTTGGATAAAGTCATGAGACTATAACCTTCTAGCGCCTAAGAGGCAGCCTGGATTATCTGGGGTAATGATAATCAGATTCTGATTCAGATTCTGTAATCGGAAAAGTCCGACAACAGTGATCGGAATAGCCCGGCAACAGTGATTGGAACATCCCAACAACAGTGATCGGAATAGCTCGGCAAAAGTGATCGGAATAGCCTAACAACAGTGATCGGAACATCCCCAACAACAGTGATCGGAATAGCCCGGCAACAGTGATCGGAAAAGCTCGGCAAAGTGATCGGGATAGCCCGGCAACAGTGATCGCAATAGATCGGCAATAGTGATCTGAATCGCCCGGCAACAGTGATCGGAATAGATCGGCAATAGTGATCTGAAAAGTCCGGCAACAGTGACCGGAATATCCCAGCAACAGTGATCGGAATAGCCCGGCAACAGTGATCGCAATAGATCGGCAAAAGTGATCGGAATGGCCTAGCAGCAGTGATTGGAACATCCCAACAACAGTGATCGGAATAGCCCAGCAATGATCACGCATTCGTTGGCCCGGACAGGGCGTGCCTTGACATACGTTAATTATTTTATATATGGATAGATAGATATAGATGTAGACATAGACATAACTATATATGATATATATAGATGCATACATACATACATACATACATACATACATACATACATACATGTTATGTATGTATATGTATGTATATATGTGGTTACATCGAAGATCGAAGATTTCACCGCTAACTTGGAGGAACCAACTGCAAACTTTATGCCGATGAATTGCACGAGCATCATGCATACAATTGCTGAAAAGCATGTGAAAATATTGTGCATGTGAACAGCTACGTTTTTGCGTGAGGTCTTGTTAAGAATTCGCCAATTTTCACTGATTTTTATCATTTATTGAACTCATGACAATAATCTTTTCAATGTTACGAATTTGTTTTACAATACATAAGTCCATGTGTAAACAGTACCTTTAAACAGTATGGAATATTTTGCAAAATTTAGTTTAGAACAGTTGCCTGAAGTAAGTGGCTATATTTACACTAGTGAGTCTAAACTTTTGATAGGAAGAATATATTCGTGTATAGAATTTCTCTTTTAAATCGGATTGGCACTTGTGGACCCACTGCCAGACCACTGCTCTTAGATCCAAGAACAATCTCAGGGGATTTACTAGTAACTTAGAATGAATGATTTCCTGAAAACCCAATCTACTACAGGACTCAAAACACATGTCATTTTGTAGGGCACCTAGAGTAAGGGTGGAATTACTATAGTGCAATTTGAATGTGTTGAGTGCCTGATCTACATTTTCTATACAAATATGTTTATCCCCTGTAATCGTTATTTATGACCAATAAAATGTTTATTTAATATTCATTTATTGCTGCTATATTTCCTAACCTCTCAATCATATCATTTGTCATGAAAAGGTGTCTACTTTAGAGGATAAATTTAAACTTGGTTTCATGAATCACAGAAATTGGTCACTTTTATATGCAAGCCACCACCCGTTCCCGTTTTGTTACTTTGCAGTCGTCTGTTTCAGTAGTTCGAGAAGTGGTGACAGAAGGATTTCATTGACTTGAGACATGGCATATTATACCCATTGTCATAAATATTACAACCCAAGGGTTTTATGTCTCAGTGCAGAGATGGTCATGGGTATATAAAGGATGGAGTGACGTTCAGACTTCCGCATTGTGTTGGAGGCCGACAGCTGATATTGCCGACACTGTCGGGGACAACGGGTTATGTACGTTACACTAATATCGATACTGTAGTTGCCAAAATACTATGTGTACATCTGAGAAACCAGCGTTCTGTCTCACTGTCTTATTTAAGGACTTTACTTTACGCGTAGAGCAAACGTAAGTGTTCGCACTTTGGAATTTCCTTATTAACGTAACAACCTCTGAGTGAGTGAGTGAATGAGTGTGTGGGTGGTTTGGTGAATGGGTTTATTACTACGGCGCGTTTAGCAATATTCCAGCCGGGGACACCAGAAATGAGCTTTACACATTGTACCCATGTGGGAATCGAACCCGGGTCTTCGGCGTGACGGGTGAACGCTGTAGCCACTAGGCTACCCCACCGCATCATAACAACCTCTGTGGTCTGCAAGTAACATGAGTAAGTCACGGTGTGGGCTACAGTAAAAATGTCAAATGCCACATGGGTCTTAGTGGTCGAGCTGCAATTCATACACACAAATAATTACACGCAGTTGTGATCTATGAAGGACCATTTTAAAATTGACATACAAAAGACAAGTATGTTTTTGAATTGAGGGGAACACTCGAAGCGTTTAGGAAAAAGTAGATTGTGGTTCGCTAATGCAACGTGTTTTCCCATGTATGCCAACTGTTGAGTGAGTAAATGACATTAGTTTTACGCCCCACTCAGCAATATTCCAGTTATATGGCGGCGGTCCGTAAATAATCGAGTCTGTACCAGAGAATCCAGCGACCTACATTATGAGCATCGATCCACATTTGGGATACAATGAAATGTCTCAACCAAGTCAGCGAGCCTGACCACAAGATCGAGTTAGTCGCTTATTACGACAAGCATGGCAGATCAGTTCTAACCCGGATCTTCACGGGTTCCAACTGTTGAAGAATTGACTTTTACCTTGCACACTGGAGCATCAAGTACATCAGTTAAAGCGTGTCTGAGTTAAGCAGAATGCTGACAGCGGACAAAAAATCATGGGAGATGTATTTTAATGATGAATTAAGTAGACGAGTATATCAACAGCATCATTATAACTAAGCGTGTACAAATAACAAAAACATTATCCGAAATACGTCCATACGGAGCTAAATGCATGTAACTACAACGAATATATCAATACCAGTGATGCTCCGGGTCTTTATGCTCGTTGTAAGAGACGACTAACTGGATCGGGTGGTCAGGTTTGCAGACTTGTTTGACACGCATCATCGTAACCCAGTTGCGTAAATCGATGCTCATGCTGTTGATCACTGGTTGTCATATTCAGTTTCCATTATTTACATATAGCTTGAATATAGCAGAGTGCGGCGTTAAACAACAAACAAACAAACAAATAAAATAACTCATCAGATGTAAATTCAAAGAGGAAATTAATTGAAAGGATCTGCCATAGAGTGACTTTGAGTAGTATATCAGACATATCCCCAGTATACTGACATATACAATTTAAAGAATCCCTTACATTTCAACGTTATGTTCTACATCTTTTTTCCATTTGACGTAAGTTTCTTTAGAATCTATTTTAGACTAGTCGAAAGACAATTCTTCTTATACCTCATTTTTGAGTTATTAAACGTTTTCATTTAACAGCATGAACTTCTGCTATTACTGGTAATTACTCATGTTACTGTGGGGACGTCTGAGCCATAGGAGCATTGTTACGCTCGACTCCAGTATTTGTGTTACACAGTACCTAGGTTGCAGATAAATGAATATATAAACGCATGTTGTAAATAGTTATCGATAATCCAAATGACTATGAGTGCAAAGCGAAAATCATCTTCGTAGATGGGGCCTAAATTATCTATGCGAAGTGGAAATCCAGGTGAGCTCGTAACACCAACATGTTCATTGAACGCCAATGCATGAATCTCTGCCAGTACTAATGTGCTGTCACCAGTTAGCTCACGACAAACCTGCAGTTGTACTGGCTTAACTGGGTGACTTCTCAGCCGTATGTACATTGTCAAGCTCAACGCCATTATTTTTGTCTGTGTATTTTAAGGTTATGTCCGCAGATCCTGATTTCAGAGCTCCGAGAAAAATCATACTTCGGATGAAGAATTTCCCTTTCGAACAAGAACTTCATCACGTAAGAAACTATTATCAAACCAAGTAACGATACAACAAAGGCGAATGTCCTGAATGGAAACAGTTGTTCTGGCACATCATGGTCATAAAATGGGTAGAAAATAAATGGAGGGAGATCCAAAAAGCTTTCACCAGAACCGATCCTCAAAACAGTGCCAAGAGCAAATCCCACAATTCCGCCATATCCGTTCGTTGCTCGAAGGAAGAGTGCGCATGCAGCTGAGGTAACACGATGACGAACACATTGTCCGCGGCCAAGACAAACAGTCCCCACACTGTCCTAACGAATATGGACAGTACGGTTGCTATTATTCCGATCATCAAGATTGATGTTCTTTGTATCCACATCAACTCTTGTTCTGATGCCTGAAATGAATAGGAACATGGGGGGATGAAAGATTTGTGAGTGAGTTTAGTTTTACTCCGCACTCAGCAATATTCCAGCTATATGGCGGCGGTCTGTAAATAATCGAGTCTGGACCATAGAATTCAGTGATCAACAGCATGAGCACCGATCTACGCAAACGGGATACGATGACATGTGTCAACCAAGTCAGCGAGCCTGACCGCCCGATATCGTTAGTCAATAGTCGCCTTTTACGACAAGCATGGGTTACTGAAGATCAATTCTAAATCGGATCTTCGCGGGTTTAAAGATTTGTGAATACTTTTGTAATTACTGATGGATTCATTACACTTGATCTGATCAGGATGTGATTATACAGTTCAGTATATCGAGTTACAGGTTACGATAAAACAGCTGTTCAAATAACCACGTCCCTCTAAATTGTTAATGGTAAGTGCATCTATTATTCTTTGCAGAAATGCCAAACCACACACTAGGTACGGACGCCACAAGTTTGAATATTTATATTCTAACGATGTATTATTCCATACTTATGCTCAATAAACTATATATAGTTACAATCCAAAGCATTGAAATAAACCAAGGAATCCATATTGGAATTATTCCTTGGTATTCATTCAACCCCTGATTATTTAGAATATGCGTCACCTACTCAACACAGGGAGAGTTACAACTGAGATTGAATTCCATAGGTTTTCACAACTAAGATACTTCGTCTTTTCTTCCTGTAACTTCTTTGAGAGGCATTTAGAAGTTAGAGCAGTAAAGAAGGATTACTATGGATGAACAACTTCTTTACAGTGATAGCGACGTTTCGGTGTTGAATCTACCACCGTTATCAAACAAGTGATGAGCAGAATAAGTAAAGAGAGGCATATATATATACAAGCGTGAGGAGATGTTTGCACAGCACAATGGGGACTAGGACTGCAATAGCATAGGGAAGTCAGTTAACAATTAACGTGTGTCCTGATCGCCGTTCTGTAGACGTTGTGGGTGAACATGGAGCTGGACCCCAGGATGGAGCTGTCCATGGAAGACATGACTGCTGCTGAGATTGCCCCAAGACCTGATCAAAACACATTAATACATAATAAACCACATAGAAACTACCAGAACCAGCAAATACAGACTGTATCAAGCATTTTATAGGCTAGTCACAAATAATTACAGCATTGCAGTTGGGATTGCACCAAGACCTTAACGAACAATTATGAACACATAAAATATCCCATTAAAATCAAATTAAATAAACAACTGAAACAACTAATTAACGTTCGCATCAAAACGACACACCACTATTGCTGTTCTTGTGCACAGATCACAACACACAATTACATCGTTACCCATTTTAGAAGTGAATGACGTAAGCTATCAACAATACATATTCATGACGATGCAATAACCTTTTTAGTTTTAGACTTTCGGAAACGAAACCATGAAGTTATGGGATTTTCTTTGAAATTATATTTTTTTTGTAACATACACACACTCACGCACACACACACACGCGCGCACCATATCTGAATTAATGTATCTGCGGATGTTGAAGTCCCCTCCATATACAAAGAATAAATATTTCTGCCATATTTTTTCTAAACATATATCCAGAACGGCCGTTTAGTTGGTATTCTACACGTTGTTTGGATGTTTGTACCTATGATGGACACAGCATCTGGCGTGAACTCTTTGAGAACAAGGGGCAGGATCATGCTGCTCATGTTGGCACTGACAGGGTCAAGGCCACCGGTCAGACTTGAGTTGGACCAATCTGAAATATATGCAAGAAGGTCGGCAGGGATAAATCTCATATGTAACATATTTTAACAATTTTTGAAAATATTCAAATTCAATAACGGGTACTGTCCGCATTTTTTTAGGAATTTTCGAGCAAGGTTTATTGTTTCGTTTGTTTGTTTGTTTGTTTGTTTGTTTGTTGTTCAACTGTAAATGCAGCGGTTTTCCAGCTATGTGACGGCGGCCTGTAAATGATCGGGTCTACAGCTGAGAATTCGGTGATTGACATCATAAGCATCGTTCTACGCAACTGGGACCTCATGACAAGTGTCAACTAAGTCAGCGAGTCTGACCACCCAATCCCTTAGTCGTGTTTCACGACAGGAGTGTGTTGCTGAAGGCTATTTCGCTCCGATTCTTTACGTGTATAGTGTTCATACCGGCAGCTGTGCTGAGAGCACCGATAAGGAATGGGGGAACAGCTAGGATCAGAGCTCCCATCCCGGCCAGAACAGAGAGCACCAGGGCCTGTTTTACACTCCGGACTGACAACACACGCTGGAAGTACGATTGCCAGGGAATGGTGCCGAATATCTGCAACACAGGAGATGCAATGGTCTTTTATAGCAAATATGTAGAAATACATGTATGATCATGACTGTGGGCTGTCATATTGCAGTCACTCACAATGAATACCAAGGAATACAATGACGAATCACCAGCTTATGTTTTCTTCTCACAAATTTAGACCAAAATATGCCCAATTGTATTTTAAGATTGAGTTTTTAGTTGTATGCTTTTAAGTTATTTTGGTAAAAGGCTGCTTAAAATACTTAATATACCATCATCAAGATTCCTCAGAAATTGTTTTAACTTGGCATCATGAATAGAAATGTGGATATTGATACATTTGGATGCAGGAAAATGTAGACAAGAGTGATATTTTTAACCGCTTTAAACGGACCAGGAAAGACATGTACATCCAAAATGCTTACTGCCATCTAATTTGTTCATCCTGAGGTTGCCATTGACACGGACAGAAATGACATGGAGTCTGTAAATATTGCTTAGTTGAAGGATCCTATCACGTCCTTACATGACCACCGTGTAATGGACTCCGAGAAAATGCATTAAGGGATATTTCTGTCACAAACTAAATGGTAGAAATGTCGACAATAAATTACAGATGATTTTAACAAGACTGTTAAACTTTTATCTACTTGCATATTCCATGCCACGAATTTCAGAAATGTAATAAGTCGTAACGCACTCTAGATCATGTTCTACAGGCCTATTGCGTCATCAGCATTATCAGTTGAGACTAACTTATCATGATACTTGCTCTTATGAACGATGCATAAATAATATCGGACGTGTAATGATTTGCAGATCTCGAATCAGATTCATTAAGAAACCGCGAAGAAAAGCAAAGATATTGCAACACTGCCTGCAAAATATTGCAAAATGGTAGGGTATGAGGAACAGACAATAATATTAATTGTTCATAAAAATTTAGGGGAAATAACCACTGACAGTTATGACATGTTCACACATTCCGGGTCGAGTAAACATAACGGAATAATATAACGTCTCACCTTTTGATGGAGTCAGTTATGATTATATAGACACCTATAAGTTTATGTATATAGATGAATATGTAAGTAATATATTAAGTATGTATCCCTATCAAGAGTTGATCAATATCGATTTGATGTAACTGCCCTACAGGACTGAGTGAGTTTAGTTTTACGCCGCTCTCAGCAATATTCCAGCTATATGGCGGCGGTCTGTAAATAATCGGTTCCGGACCATAGAATTCAGTGATCAACAGCATGAGCATCGATCCTGCAAAAACACTTAATCTCTACCTGCATCAATGTTTCGGTTCGACGCTATACAAGTAAACTGTTTGCTTCGTGTGGGTTGTTTTTCTTGTCAGAGCTGCATCTTGACACAAACGCCCAAATACGGTACAATAGTATACATGTTGTACGTACCATAGCAAGGGCAAAGGTCAACCCAGGCCACAGCATGTCGGCCATCAGGGAGCCAAGCCACGTTTCTGACGTTGTGCTGACGTCACCCACACGATCGTCCGTCACCACGAATGGAATTACCGCAAGCACCTGCAATATCACTGAAATATCTTATGGACACCAGCTTCTTTATTTTGAGGAGCATGACGCTTCACAGTATAGTATTACTCCTTTATCAGGTAAATGACTACACTTTTTCAATCAACATTATTCCTAGATCCAAAGCACTCGATTGTTTAGGTAAAAAACACAAACCGGTGGTGATATACTGGTTTGTGAACACTAAGGCGTAAGGGAAAGCCTTTCTTATGAAAATAAATTATCCATACCAGGCCACGGTGATCAGAATTAGTTGTACTATGTCAGTATATGCAACTGAAATCATCTGACCAATCATAATGTAGATAACAGTGATACTGGCAGACACCACAATGGCCGTCTCAACGTTGATGGCGAGTATTATACTCAAGCTTGTTCCTGCAAAAGAAAACAAATGAGTAAAAGCAGAATATATGATTGATGCGTGTAATAAAGAAGAGTATTTATTCGACTTTCACAAATTTCAAAGTGTTTATTTGTGTTATCCACAATGCAAGGATAAACCAAACTACTGTCCATCAAGAACAATGTGCATGTTCATTAATATATATTTATTAAGTCAAATATGTTTCTTGTATGGCATATGTCTCAGATGTGTCCATGCTAGTTTAATAGATACAATTGTTAACTTGTTTTTTACTTCAATCAATAGTTCAACGTTGGTGGTATTTTGGTATTTTCTAAGCCGTCTGACTCTCAGAGTGCATGGTGAGTGCGTTGGGGTTTGATGCAGGTCACAGCGGCGTTTAACTCCTATCAATAACCTTTGTATCGTTTCGGTATGTAAAAGTTCATGTAAACCTCGCTAGATTCTTACCTAGTGCATTTAGGATGGACGCTGTCCAGAAGACGTCCCCGCAAAGCGAAGCCAGGTACACGAGGCACGTGACCACGCGGCCATAACACTCTTCGATTGGCTGTAACATTGTGACGTACTTCCTTCCACGCATGCGTCCTGCATATATTATGCCCCCTTGTAATTGGAAAAGTAGGCAATGTTATAAAAAGTCGGAAAACAGGTGAATAAATAGTTTGGAAAAAAGGTTATTATGAACGTGAGTGAAGTTTTACACTATTTTGGACAACAGTCAAACAACTTAACATGCAAACATAAAAGAGTGGTTTCATTGCTCAAATTTTTTGACAGAATATACTGTGAACGTATTGTCATACTATAGTTTATCCAGGCGTCTTAATTCTTATTGTTCATTCTGCTCGTGAAAGGTTTATGGTTTCTCGAGTATCTGATCCGGATAATGATTGTTACAACCCGGAAAAGAAAGATTGTTCCCATGTGTTAGCTTTTGTTATCTACAAAACTCGCTTGCTCACTAACAGATTAACCACACATTTTCACTGAAAAAGGACACTACAGTGAGTGTGGGAGTTTAGTTTTAAGCCGCTTTTAGCAATATTTCAGCACTATCACTGCAGTGGACACCAGAAATGGGCTTCACGCATTGTACCCATGTGGGGAATCGAACCCAGGCTTTCGGCGTGAGGAGCAAACGCCTTAACCACTGCATATATTTTTAGGAAATCATTACTCAATTAAATATTTTGAGAATTTTGAGCAAAAACGCCGATTTCGTGCAATCAGTTTCTTTCATGATCTTCGTGTGAACACCTGTCTTGTGTTGTAGTTGTAGTAAAAAGATGCACGGAGGCTAAGTAAACCTATGTGAGTATAGAACCTGGCGTTTATCTTTGAATGTATGTGTGCCAGTACATGAATGTAATGTGGTTATTTAGGAGCCACGGTCGGCCGACTCCCCACTCCTTGACTTATCGACCTTTCACATACAAGATCAGTGTGGAACCTGAGCTTACATCCTCCCTGACAACGTGGAACGGCCATAATTAGTAGATAACTGTAGTAGAGTCCACTGGCGCCCCATCGCAGCTACTACGATATTCTATATGAAAACATGGAAGCCGTTATGTAAACAAACCCACTTGTGCGGACTTGTGTCTCCCACGGTGCATGGCCCTATCTCTATCAACACCTTCAGCTCATGTAGGAAGATACAACAAAGGGAGATAATGAATATAGGGGCGTTTAAAGGGGTATATAAAGGGTGTAGAAGTTTGAATATGCCATTCTCGGTTACGGTGCACACAACATGGATGAGAGACCCATATCCGAGAAATTAGATGTCATTTTGAAAAGATTGGACGATTCGAAACTTGAACTTGATGAACGTTTGCAAGGTTTTCGACGTGAATTTGAGCAAACATCAAAAGAATTGGTACGGTTGAAAGCAGAGAAAGACTATTCTTGGAACAGAGAGGGTAATAAGATTCAATTTAAATTTAATGAAGAAACTCTTGAAACTTTAAATCAGATTCAGTTCGGCATAAAGTACGGGAAACTGGATTATTCAGATGAGCTTTTAACCAATGAAATCAAGCGTTTGGAGCAACGTAATAAGTTGATCAAGACTCCTCGGAAGGAGGGTGGGAAACTGTGAGACAGTATGTTTCCCGTGATTTGGCCACAGACTCGGACGATGACAAGCGGATCACTCGGGCGGAAAACAAAGCAGTTAAGAAGCTCAGAGCCAGGAGTTCCCGTTTTGCGCGTGCTCATCCCTACAGGTCGTTTGGCACGCGACCTTCAGCCACAGTCACTCAAGCGAGTCAAGGGAGGATGTCCGTGCTGCTACTTCTTCTACTAGCAGTCAGGTTTTTCGAGCCGGGGCCAAGGGCAGGCGCCTGCTCACTGTGGGAGTTCAACCACTGGAGACGCTATTGCCCCGGCTGTGCGGACAAGCCCAGTCTTCTAAAGCAAGTTCGGAACAAACATCATCTAGATCATCTTCAAAGCCTGAAGTTGAGTATATTGATACTTATGTACATGACTATAAGAATGATGTTCGTACATTAACATCTGACTTTTATGAATATGAAAGTGGTCAGGCAGAAATCATTGTGAAAGGTGGGCTTAAAGCCAATGTTTCATTTTGGAAGATATCGGTGCCATTCAATTTGTAATAGACACTATAGAAAATGGGTACAAAAATTCCATTTTACTCACTTCCAGATACTATGGAAATACGGAAAAACAGATCCGCGATGAACAATCGTCTGTTTGTTGATGAAACAATTCAAGATTTGGTTTGGAAAGGCCTAGTGACAGTTTGTTGTTGTAAACCAAGAGTGGTTAACCCCTTTAAGAGTGTGTCAACGCAGTCTTCCGGTAAACGACGTTTGATTTTAGATTTATCTTTGGTGAATAAGCATTTATGGAAGGAATCTGTGAAATACGAAGACTGGAGAACAGTTATGTTGTTTATAGATAAAGTATGACTGGCTTTTAAAGTTTGACATTCGCTCTGCCTACCACCATATTGACATTTTTTATAAACATACAGAATTTCTTGGTTTTGGGGCGAAGGTGTGAACAAAGTTTATTACAAATTTCTGGTGTTGCCATTTGGCCTTTCAGAACTGCTCCATATGTATTCACCAAGGTTACCAGACGTTGTTGGTTAAATATTGGCGTTTTGAGAAGGACACAGAGTTTTTGTGACGTTTTTAGATGACGGCATCATATCCGGTATGAGTAAGCAGTTAGCTTTTGAATCAGGTCAATCACAGAAGAACGATTTGATTCGCTCAGGTTTTGTACCTAAGGTAGAAAAGAGTTTGTGGGAACCTGTACAAGTCTTGGAATGGCTCGGTATTATCATTGACAATACTGTTATGAGGTTATCTATTCCTGATGGGAGAATTGATAAAGTTAAGAAGTGTATTCTTAACCTTTTAAATGTAAGGTCAGTTCCCGCGAGAGTGTTAGCGTCTGTGATTGGACAGATTATATCGATGAAGATGGTGACTGGGTCTGTTTGTCAGTTGATGACGAGAGCCATGTCTAAACAAACTGTGAATGTTGATTCATGGAATCAGACTGTACATTTATTTGTCTAGTGACTGCATAGAGCAGTTGCAGTTTTAGTTGAGTGATATTGATAAGCACAAGAATTGTTATTTGTCAGAAACTTCTGTTGTGACCAGGATTGTCTATAGTGATGCCAGTAGCCATGGTTACGGTGGTTGTGTGTGTGCAGTATGGACAGCAGCAGCATGAGAGCACATGGGCAGTGGTCAGTGGTTGAGACACAGAGGAGTTCGACATGGCGAGAATTGCAAGCTGTAAATCTTGTTTTTGCAGAGCTTAGCGCCAATGTTATCTGCACAGAGGGTGAAATGGTTCACGGACAATTCAAATGTTGAGTGTATTGTTGCTAAAGGGAGCATGAAGACTGACTTACAAAGCATTACCATGGAGATATTTAGATTGTGTTTAGCCAATCACATTCATTTGGAAATGCAGTGGATTCCCAGGACAGAAGAATGAACGAGCTGATTATATCCAGTCAGTTTGTAAATAATGATGATTGGGGTGTGAGTGCACATGTGTTTCAGCATCTAGAGGCGTGTGTGGGGGAATATGAAGTGGATAGATTTGCTTCGTATTACAATAAGAAGGTAGATAGGTTTTATTCAGATATTGGAATCCAGGATGTGAAGGTGTTGATGCGTTTTACTGTACACTGGGGAGATGTGAACAATTGGTTAGTTCCACCGGTGTATCTTGTTGCAAGAGTACTTTCACATATGAGATTATGTAAAGCCAAGGGGACACTGATAGTACCGGCCTGGTACTCTGCTAGTTACTGGCCCCTGTTGTGTCCCAAGGAGAGTTTATTCCAGAAGTGACAGAATGTATATACCTTCGAGAAACAAGTCTGCTTATGTGACGAGCCGGTTGTCTAGAGGCATTTTCGGGGAACATGATTTGCATTTCAATATGTTAGCTCTTCTGCTTGGTATTTTAATGCGCATATGTTTGTTTACAGGTATATTTGAGTCGGTTTATGAGAAGCAGTTAAAGGCTTTGCCTG